CAACACAAATCCACCCAGCCCTGTATGGTAGGTTCGCGTCGCGATGACGTCGGCGTTGGTTCCTGACACCACGTTGATCGTTCAACCTTGAACGATCGGTGGCTTTCTGATCGCCAGATCGTTCGCCATTGAACGATCCAAGGCCACTGGTGGCGTTCAACCTTGAACGCCCGTGGTGGGGTCGCCGCCGCGTCAACGCTGCACGGACCTGCTGTAACTGGGGCGTAAGGTTTACCTTGACCCCCATCTTCAACAATATTTCCCCAAGAGCTCGGCCAAGCCATCGCGGGGGGCCCGAAAAAGTCCCAGGAGGAGGAGCATGCCCTAAATCCTAGATTGCTCAAGATGGCTCCTAGGGGCTCCAGGGACCTCAGCGCTGTGCCCGACGTCTGAGCCAGACGTCCACCACCACCTCCTCCTTCTGCATCACTACCCCCTCCTCTTCGCATCCCTCATACTCTCCTCCTCCACCTCTACCCCTCCTCCTCCCTCCTCTTCCTCCTCCGCCTTCACCTCCTCCTCTTCCTCCTCCTCTCTCCTGTTCAGGCCCACGCCATGTTCGTCATTGCCCCATCCACCTGTATCCCTCCTCCTCCACCTCCTGGCTGACAGGGGCACGCGAAGCGCTTTGCATTTCCTGTCGAAATAGACGCCCAGGTCACCGATGTTTTTGAGGGCGTTGACCTCAGAGAGGTACAGCATGCCTTTCTTGTACGTATAAGCAGGCATCTGGAGTAGGCAAACGCTGTTCGGATTGAGGGTCATCTGCATTAGGCTGAGCTGCACGCGCTGGGCCTCTGCTGCCACTGTCGATGGGGCGATCCAGTTGATGTAGCCGGCGTGAACCTAGCAGACAGTGGGCCGGGAGATGCGGGGAGGGGAGGGCAGCGAGGGCGAGGCAGACAGCGACGACTCATGGGGATCAGGGGGGCAGGAAAAAGGAAGAGGCTAAGGAGGTGGGCGAGAAGGAGGAGGGAGGACGAGGAGGAGGAGAGCTAGGAGGACAAAGGATCACAGGTGGAGGAAGAGCAGGGCAGGACATAACGCGAGGGAGGAGGTTCCAGAAGAGAAAGAGAAGGATCAGCAGCAGGAGAAGGAGGAGGGTGGAACCCTGCTGGCGCCCTTGATCAAGTACAGCTCGTTTTCGGCGCGGGTCTGAAACTCCTGGAGCTTCGTGAAGATCCCCGGGGCCCCCTCTTTGACGGTTGCGAACATACAAAAATCCCTGACGAATTTGAGGCCGAACTTTTTGCCGGCGTCCACCACGCTTTTCTGCCACTCGAGCTTGTGGAAATACTCTGAGTTCTGTCGGTCTGTATTCTTTTGACGATAAACCCGAAACTTTTTGACGTCGGACTGGATCAGGTTCAGATCGAGCTCGAATTGCTGCTTCTCCAGGGCTGCGTGCTCGAGCTCCATGGCCCCCATGGTGGTGTGCAACGTCCCGTCGGCCCCCTTGGTCGCCTGTATGTGGCTCTGCATGCAAGCTTTGATGGCAGTGATGTCAGTGATCTTGAAGTTATCGCTCTTCTCTTGGTAGGCCATCTGGAGCTCTAGCATCAAAGCCGAGTCGTCGGCCCTCACAAGGTCGATGTACTCCTGCCAGGCAGGTGGGGCAACTGTTACAGGGGGCAGGGAACGCAATAAGCACATGCGAAATCACGAGGTCCCAACGAACACTCAAGAGGCCTCTGACCCACCACCCAGGCACAGTGGCAGGCTGGGCCGAAGGCCAATAGATAGTTTCCGCGATCGTCGCACGCTCTCACTCCTTCTCGGGGTCGGCGGAATGGCGTAAGCCACTTGAATCATGTGCGACAACATATCCAATGGCGCCCTCGTGATTTCACCCTCCCCAGGGCCATCTAGCCTCTCAAGCCCTGGAAGCCCAGGATGTCCCAGGGCGGTTTCTTACCTGCAGGGGTGGGGTAAGTTGGAAAAGGGGAGAGCACGGGGGAAGGGACGCATGCGGCAGGGGAGGCCTGTCATGTTCGGCGAGGTGCTGGCAGGCGCCCGGCGCTGCCCCCGCTGCCGGGGGAGAAGGAGGAGGAGGAGGAGGAGGAGGAGGAGGAGGAGGAGGAGGAGGAGGAGGAGAGGTGGGGGGAGGAGGAGGAATGGCTGGGAGGATACGCACAGGGGGGCAGGGGCACGCAGAGGAAGGAGGATTGGGGCGGCATAGGCATTGGCAGGAGGGGGAAGGAGGACAGAGGGGGGACAAAAGGAGGGAGGGGGCGCGCAAGAGGAGCAGGCATAATCATTTGGCGCCCCCATCTGTCCTTCTGGATCTTCGCATCATCCACTGGGACCTGCGCTGTGATCTCTTGCACCATGTTATGGGCCATGCTGACGATGTGCAACCAGTCCTCCAGCTCAGACTTCTGCATTTTCCGCCTGGAGGAAGAGATCGACCTGCGATAGCGAGCCTGGAGGAACGCGCAAAACAATTCCAGCGACGCGTTGGACACGCGGAAACGGGCCATCCACTCCTTGTTCTGGGTTCGAATGGTGGCGCCGATCTTGAGCTTGGTGCTGCCCAGGAACTCCTCCGTGAACGGGCACTGCTCCCACGTGAACTCGCTGACGAGCGCAATGATCAGGTCGAGCGCGCTATCGCTTATGTTGAGCAGATTGAGGAGGGCCGTGCGTTTCGCGCCAACCATGCGGTTCTCTGCTGACATGCCTGCCATGTCGTTCCACCGCTTGATCACAGAAGCAGCGTCGTCGACGCCGTGCGATTTCAAGCGCCGGATGACGCCTGCCCAGGTGATCACGTTCCACGGGCGGCGGATCGCGCCCCTTTGCGACCGCTTGCAATTCATCAGCGCAGCGTTGATTTTGTCCCCCTGCGCCATGACCTAGCGATAGGAGGAGGAGGAGGAGGAGGAGGAGGAGGAGGAGGAGGAGGAGGAGGAGGAGGAGAAGGAGGAAGAGGGGGAGGAGGAGGGGAAGGAGGAGGAGGAGGAGGACGAGGAGGACAGGGGAAGACGAGGGCGAGGATACTTGGGGGGGGAAGCTGAGGAGGAGGAAGAGAAGGAAGACGAGGAGGAGAAGGAGAAGGGGGATGAGGAGGAGGAGGAGGGGAAAGAGGAGGAGGAGGAGGAGGAGGAGGGACCCTGATGGCAATAACGTTGGCATTGGCGAACTGGGGCAGGATGGCCTTGATATCATCGTCCGGTAAGTCAACCATGAAGAGGTCCAGCAGCGTGAGCAACGTGGTAGAACGGGCGAAGCCCTTGATGTACCCGAAGCTGAAGTAACTGGTCGTCTCCTCTTGCGCGCACCCTGAAAACTCGGTGGGCATCTTCAGCATACCGTCGGCGAGCTCAGGGCCTTGGAAGCACAGTAGCTCGTCTCCTTGTGTAACGCAACCATCTGAGCACATCTCTGCTGCTATCTTGGTCACTTTGGCATGGTCCACAAAGTCGTGGGACGTCGCATCCGCTGAGAAGGAAAGGGCCGCGGGGTGAATGAACATCGCGTTCTGTTCGCTGAGCTCGCCTTCTCCAACAGTGGGCAACATTTTCTTAAGGCTGTACTCGTGCTGGAAGCTGAGCGGCAGTAGCTTTACCAACTTCTCAGCAAACTGAAGCTTTTTCTCTGGTGTGTCATATTTCTTCTGGAGGTACTTGTCAGGGCCGCCAGCTACCAGGGTCTCTCGCACAAACGCCGCGTGGAGCCTCTTGGCCGTACCACGAACGCCATCATTAATATCTACCATCGAAGAGCCCAATGATTCGTGGCCAGTGCCACCGCCTGGCAGTGTCGACCTATCATCCATCTCGACGTCATCATCGTTCAGCCGCCTGCCGAAGTCCCCCTCTGGCACTGGCAAGACGTTGTTCTGGCCAGCGGTCGGGTCCGAGGGCTCGGCCATCTGCGCAAGTGTCACAGAGCAAGCAATGGCCGTCAGGCACAGCTCACACGCACCAAAATTGGTTTCGCCTGGCTAGCCAAAATGGCTGTGGTGGGGGAGGAGAGGGAGGAGGAGGGGGATGGGGAGGAGGAAGGGGCAGATGGGGATCAGCGTTCGCCTTGGAGGTCTCGACCCCTTTCCCTGGGTCTGGCCGCTCGTGCCAAGCCGTTTTCTCGCGACCCCAGGGCCCGCCGGATAGGAGGACCCCCCAGAGGCCGACGACAGTCGAAAACGTCCCGTCTCGATGAAGAGGAGGAGGAGGAGGAGGAGGAGAAACCACGTCGTCGACGACGATGGAGGGAGCGAGGAGGGGAAGGGAGGGGGGAGGGCGAAGAGGGGGAGCAAGGGGAGGAAGTTTGCCCCCCCTCCCGTTCCCCCTCTCTCTGCATGGGCGCGCCCCCCTTCGTTTTCTGGCAGTGCGTGGTCCTCTCGTCACCACAGCTGATCGCAGCTCGAAAAACTTGTCAGGTTGGACCCCGGAGAGGGCCCGACCTGGACGTCATGTCACGTTGGTGGCCTGCGTTGCGACCCACCTGCGCCGCGACCCACCCGCGGGAACGACGACGACGACGACAACGCCAACAACAACAACAACTTTAAAGCCGTTCGTTCTCATGCGCTCGCGTGTAAACCGACATGTATATCCCATACTCTCGATGCCCACCACGCGCCCCAAGATGGCCCCAACCCAGCCCAAGCTGGCCCAAGAGGGGCCCAAGAGGGCCCGAAGAGGGGCACAAGAGGGTTTGAATAGAGCACTGCGGTCTCCACTCCTTCCTTCCTGCCCCCTCCTCTCTTCCCTCCTCCTCGCTTCTCTTGATTTCCTTCTCCTCCTCCCTTCGCTCCTCCTCTTCTCTCCTGCCTTTTACCTGGCTTGTCCTCGTCGTCCCTGGGGGGCTGCGCTCTGCGAAACTGTCGCCACTTTCGAAGGCTGCTGCCTGGTCACCTTGCGCCCGAATGGACAGGAGCACTCGCGCCCTTATTCTGAAATGGGTTAAGCAGGGTCGCAGTTCTTACATTTTTGTTGAGCCCCGTCCAGCCGCACAGGGCGAGATATGCCTTGGGGATGCAGGACTCTCAGCTGGGCATGCACGACGCGTCGTCGCAGCCTGTGAGCGAGACTCAGTTGGACGGGTTTCAAGATTCTCAGGCGGCTGCTTCACTGGCCCTCCCCAGCGACTCGTTCCGCCATGAAGACATGCTCGGGCTCGACGCCACCGGGGCCCCCACCAAGGAGGAGGTGGTGAAGTACGACCCACAGGCCCGCAGCGATTGGCTCGGCAAGAGAGGCAAGGCGGGCTGCTTCGGGAAGCAGCAGATCGTGGACCTCGAGGCCACGGGCGACGGGAAAACTTGGCAGAGCCCGCGCACAGCGGACGGCAGACCGGTCGTGCGCCCGTCGCGGGCCCGGCAGGCGCCCACTCCCACGTCGGAGCTCCCGGCGAGGCCTCCCGCAGTCGAGGCGCCGCCCACTATGGAGGAGGCCCCGCCGCCCCAGAGCAGCCCAGCACAAAGGCCGCCCCGCCCCCACATTGCTGCCAAGGCAAGGGCCCCTTCGCTGAGTGCCCTGACAGCGGCGATGTGGACCACAAGCTCCAGAGGGTGAACTTCAACGCAGTCGGCCACCCCGCGAAAACTCAGACGATCGTCCAGTCTGTACAAGGACACGGCTACCATGCCGCCAGCGGCGGCGCTGGTCTTCGCTGAGATGACGAGCGGCAAAGTTAAGCTCCCCGTCCACGCGAAGACGCGCTACTCAATTCGCTACACAGTGGAGTTCGAGGCCGACGTATAGGGGGCAACTGAGCAGAGGTCGGAGGAGGAGGAGGAGGAGGAGGAGGAGGAGAAGGAGGAGAAGGAGAAGGAGAAGGAGAAGGAGGAGGAGGAGGAGGAGAAGGAAAACTTTGAGTTGCGGCGATTTTCATGCCATGGCAGGTGCGTGGTCGTTCATGGCCTGGCGAAGAGCTGCGGTCGTCGCTGTCAGAGCTTACCATATCGAAATCTGTATTCAACCCCTCGCGTGTGAAAATGGACGTCGGGCCCTGAAGGTGGACTCCACCCCATCCCTTACCATGACGTAGATCTCCTCTTTATTTTATCCGCACAGTCAAATGTCGAGCAACGCAATGATTCCGAGAGGGTACAGGACGCATGACAGAGCGTAGTATGTCGGACCTCCAAGACGACGACGACGACGACGAGGACGACGAGGCCAGTGGGAGCCCGCGGCGTGGCCGGCGGAGGCGGGCTCCTGGTCGTCGATCGTCGTCGCCGACGTCGTCGTCGTCGTCGCCGTCGTCGCCAGTGCTGTCGTCGTCGCCGTCGTCGTCGTCGTCGCGGCGTCGTCATCGTCGCCGTCGTTGTCGACGACGACGGCGACGGCGACGACGACGACGACGACCGCACGCGCTGGGGAGGCAGCTCCAGCTCCTCCTCTCTACTCCTCCTGCTCCTCCCGCCCCTCTTACCCCACAACGCCCAGTCTCTTCGCCCACCGCAAATCCTCCTCCTCCTCCTCCTCCTCCTCCTCCCTCCACCTCCTCCTCCCCCTCCCCCTCCTTTCCTCTCCTCTCCCCCTGGCCTCCTCTCCCATGCTCGGCCAGGCGCAGAAGGAGGGCAGAGGCGGGGCCAATCGTCGCCGCCGTCGTCGTCGTCGTCGACCCCGCGTCGCTGACTAGGAGGTCCTCCCTGCCTTGGGGACCCAACGCCTCGAGGGGGAAGGGGGGGACAGGGCGAAGGGGCCCCTGGACTCCCAGTTTTTCGCGCCGCGTTCAGCCGCGGCGTCGAGGAGGGCCCCCGAGTGGGAAAACTTCGAACCTCGATCCTCGAGGCTCGAGTCTCGGCGTACACTGCCATCACCGAAAACGCCTCGCTCCTCCTCCCCACTCTCCACTCTTTTCTCTTCTTCCTCCTCCTCCTCCTTACCTCTCCTCCCTCCTCCTTCTTCTCACTCTTCCTCCTCATTAACCCTCTCCTCACTCCTCCTCGCGAGAGAGATGCGGCTGGCTTGGCCTGGCCACTGCCGCGCCGGCGGCCATCGCCGCGCCCGGCGCCGCCCGCGGCGCCCGCCCGCAGGCTGAGCAGCTCGACGAGCTGCTGGAGGTGCTGGTGGGTGGTGGTGGTGGTGGTGGCGCCTCGGCCACCTTCAGGCGCTGGTGGAGGCCGTCCTGTGGCCAGGAAAGCCCAGAAGTCCCAGGATGGCCCAAGATGGCTCCAAGAGGAGGCCCAAGATGGCCCCAGATGGCCCAAGAGGCGCCCCCAGGATGGCCCAAGATGGCTCCAAGAGGAGGCCCAAGATGGCCCAAGATGGCCCAAGAGGTCCAACCAGGAAAACCAAGGAGGCCCGAGATGGCTTAAGAGGCGCCCCCTGCTGTCCCAGGAGGCCGAGCAAAACCCAAGAAGCCCAGGAAGGCTCAGCCAGAGGCCCAGAGCTCAGGAGACCCAGGAAGGCGCAGGCCCCAGGAGGCCCAGGCAAGCCCAGGAAGGCCGCGATTTCGAAGCGAATCCAGCCGTGCCGACGAGGGCCCCCCAAGACACCACCACCCACGGAGAGCAGGCTCGACAAGACAGCGCACGCGCGGAGGAGGAGGGGGCGGAGGAGAAGGAGGACGCGACGACGACGACGACAACAACGATGACGACGCCAGTTTATGGCGCCACGCGCTGCTCCTACTCCTCCGAGCCTAGCAAGCCCAGGCAAGCCCCCCTCACTTCTTCACTTCCTCCTCCTCCTCCCCCTCCTCCTTCCTCCTCCCCCTCCTCCTCACTTCTTCACTTCCCCCCTGTCTTCCCTCCCCCCCCTTCCCAATCACTTGCGGAAAAAAAGGAGGAGGAGGAGGAGGGGGAGGAGGAGGAGGAGGACAGCGACGAGGAAAGGGAGAAGGAGGAGGAGGCAGAGGCCCGAGGAGGAGGAGGAGGAGAGTTTTTTTCACACGACACCCGCGAAGCGAACCAGATGCCCCAAGTGGTTGTCCCGCGAACCACGCCACCGCTGAGGAGGAGGAGGAGGAGGAGGAGGAGAGTTTTTTTTCAACACGACACCGCGAAGCGAACCAGATGCCCTAAGTGGTTGTCACGCGAACCACACGCCCCTGGACGGGTCCCAAGGGTTGTGGGGAGGAGGAGGAGGAGAAGGAGGAGGAGGAGGATGAGGAGGATCATCATCATCATCCCCATCATCATCATCATCATCATCATCATCATCATCATCATCATCATCATCATCATCATCATCATCATCATCATCATCATCATCATCATCATCATCGCATCATCATCATCATCAGCATCATCATCATCAGCATCATCATCATCATCTGTCGGAGGCCCCATTGATGCGGGCGGAGGGCCCATTGATGCGGCAGGCGTCTGGGAGCGCTTGGGAGCGCTTGCGGAGCGCCTTGGCGCCTGGGAGCGACTGGGAGCCCGGGAGGCTTGGGAGCGCCTGGGAGCGCCTGGGAGCGTTGGGAGCGCCTGGGAGCGCTTGGGAGGGCGCTGGGATGGGAGCGGGAGCGCCTGGGAGCGCCTTGGGAGCGCCTGGGAGCGCCTGGGAGCGCCTGGGAGCGCCTGGGAGCGCTCCCAAGTGAAGTTTATCCTTCCAGGGGCCAACAGGGAAACGCCCGAGCAATCCGACCCCGGGTTCAGGGTTCTCTCAGAGGCGAAGCTCAGCGCGTGCGCCGGCCCGATAACGATCTGGGCGCTCGACTATCGCTCGCTTTCAGAGCGGACAAGGTTCGACATCGGTGCGCGACCCTTCGAGGGGTCGCGCTTCAGGGTTTAGGGTTTAGGGTTTAGGGGGTTTAGGGTTTAGGGTTTAGGGTTTAGGGTTTAGGGTTTAGGGTTTAGGGTTTAGGGTTTAGGGTTTAGGGTTTAGGGTTTCCGAGCAGAACCATCCTATCCCCCCCTCACCAGGGTGTAGGGGGGGATGGATGGGTGCGTTGAGTCCCGCCCCATCCGCCCAGAGTCATTGCTTTTAGGGTTTAGGGTGGTCTACCCCCCTCGCTCCCCCCTAGCAAGGGGGGAAGTGTGCAGGCGTCGGCAAGAGTGAGTGGCCGCGTACCAGGGATGAATGAGAAGCCCACAAGGAGCCCGGGAGAGCTTGTTGTGGGAGCCCAGAAGGAGGCTCGGGGAGCTTGTTGTGGGAGCCGACAAGGAGCTCGGGAGAGCTCGTTGTGGGCGCCCACAAGGAGCTCCGGGAAGCTCGTTGTGGGAGCCCACAAGGAGCCCGGGAGAGCTTGTTTTGGAGCTCCAGAAGGAGTTCCGGAGAGCTTGCTGTGGGAGCCCACAAGGAGCTCGGGAGAGCTTGTTGTGGGGGCCCACAAGGAACTCCGGGGAGCTCGTTGTGGGCCCACAAGGAGCCCCGGGAAACTCGTTATGGAAGCTGGCAAGGAAGCCCAGGGAGCTCGTTGTGGAAGCCCACCGGGAGCCCGGGGGAGCTCGTTGTGAAGGCCTACAAGGAGCCGGGGGAAGCTCGTTGTGGGAGCCCACTAGGAGCCCGGGGGGTCTCGTTGTGGGAGCCCACAAGGAGCCTGGGGGAGCTCGTTATGGGAGCCCACAAGGAGCCAAGGAGCCCGGGGGAGCTCGTTGTGGGTACCCCCCAGAATCCTCCGTGATGCGGCATCAGGGAGGATTTTGGCCGGCGGACGCACAGAACCTTTGGACCATTGGATTTACGCCTTCGGCAATAAAACCTGCCCCAGCGCGCTCTTCCAGAGAAACCAAGCGTTCTGGGGTCAGTTTTAAGCAAATCCGGAGGTTTTTAAGCGCCGATACAAGTGCTTGGATATCAGAGAGGCTGCATGCGAGCGCGACAAGGGGGACCAGCGCGGCGGCGGGCAAACCCAAGCGCTAATTTTACGATTTCGGCTATCTAAGCGCCGCAGCGCGCTTCCGTAGCGAAGCCAAGCGTCCTGGGGCAGTTTCTAAGGAAATCCAATGGTTTTTAAGGGAAAGCCTAAACCCGCGGCCCAATACCCTAAACTCACCAGGGCCGGCCGCGATTTGGGAGCATCCGGCCCCGGGTTAGGGGTTATGTGTTTCTGAGCGAGACACAGCCTCAGGCCGGCAGGCCGATTGTGGCGGTGAGCTCGACTGGCAGCTCGCTCTCACTAGCAGATCCTTACAGGCGTGGCGATGCGCGCCCCCAGGGCCGCGCCTGCAGTTTAGGGTTTAGGGCTTCTCTTAGCGCAGCGGCCGACAGTCCAGGCAATGCTGCCCCCCCTTCGGCAAGCTTGATTGGGGGGGCGGTTCGCCGACCCGAGCAAGCTTGGCGAAGGGAGCAGGAGTTGCAACATCTTCCCACCCCCGGCCGCATGGCCGGCGACCTCCCAAACTACAGCCTTTTAGGGTTTAGGGCGGCTGGCCCCTAAATTCCCAAATGGCTCCAAGCGCTCCCAGGCGCTCCCTGGCGCTCCCAAGCGCTCCCAGGCGGTCCCAGGCGCTCCCCGGCGCTCCCCGGCGCTCCCAAGCGCTCCCACCCAGAGGGTGCCGAGACGCTGGAAATAGCAACCCTAACGTCTATACGTTAATTTTAACGTCTTGCGTTAGATCACTTTTAGACGTTAAAAATAACGTCCTTGTGCGATTATCGCACTCAGGCAGGGCATGCGACATTGTCGATCGCAGCTCTGCTTTTCCTCGATGCATATTCGTGTGCGTTGCAAAAAAAAAACTCAGCTGCTCTCCTCCTCCTCGTCGTTATTCTCCCCCTCCTCCTCTTTTTGCTTCCCCTCTCCTCTCCTCTCTCCTTCTTCTCTTTTCCGTGTTCGGCTGGTCCTTCCGACTCGATCTTCGTTCGGGCGGGGGGGGGGCGAGGGGGGCGGCGCGCGCGGGGGGGCGCCCCTGGCGCCGCCGCGCCACCGCCCGCCCCGCCCAGCCATTGGAAGAGGGATTTGGGTCCAGGCCGTCTGTTGCTCTAAATCTAGCTCTCGCCATGGCGCCGCGCACATTGGTTGCCGCGGAGTGATGGACGGAGGTGGCATGAGACCTGAAATTAAATTCCTGCCTCGACGCCACGCACGACAGTTTTTGTATATAACAATCACGTGGGTCGAGGGGGTGCGTTACTCAATGTGGCATTCTCGCCTCAATGCCGCGAACATTTGCTATATATCCCCAGTTCTAGCGGATTCACATAAGGGCGACTCAAAATGGAGCTCACGCCTTAGCGCAACACGTAATTGGCTTACAACATTGCTGCAGTTCCACGGATGGAGGGCGCGTCCAATAAGCAATTGCCGCCTCAGTGCCGCGCACATTGGGCCGCTGTGAGAAGGAGTGCGTGCATGGACATAAGCGAGCAAAAGAATGAAAACAAAACAACAAAACGCAACGACACAAAGCCGTGCAGCCGGTTTGGTTCAAGCCTTTCGGCGCAGACCAGATCCGTGTTTCTCAGGATGACTGGGTCGACCCCGAAGGCCAAAATGATGGAGAGTGGCGCAGCCGAGAGCCCGCCCAAACCAGAGCCAGTCCCGAGGACACGTTACGGTGAGGAGATCAACGGCGCTCTGACTGAGGCACTCACACCGCTGGTCGATGACAAAGGCTGGCCCATGTACGGACACGCCCTGGCATCGGAGATGCTGGACCGCGGCAGGGTTGAGAAGTTGGGGGAGGTGCTGAGAGCGATTCGCCAGGTGGCCTGCTGATTTAACGTTTGTCATCTCTTGCTCCTGCCCCCTCGCTTCTCCTCATCTGCCCTGTCGCGTCGTCGGCTGCGCGCCCCCATCCTTGCCCAGGTGGCGCCGAACTTCTCGATCGCCCCGCACGTGGTGGAGGAGGTCATGGCCAACATCGGCACGGCCAAGAAGGACGACATCAAGTTGAGAGAGGTTGAGTCCTGGGCCAAAGGCGCGTCGCTGAGGCTCCGAACTCTCTTGCTTCACGCGGCCGGCCTCGCTCGCAAGGAGAAGCCGCCGAACAGGGCTCCTGCGTGGTGGACCAACCTCATGGCCAACGAGAGCAAGGTCCCAGAGCCGAAGAAGGCAGCGCTGCAGAAGAGCAACGTGAAGGACGAGACCAAGCCCGATAAGGAGCCCAAGCCCGAGGAGGGATCCAAGCCCGAGGATGCGTTCACGTTCGGATACGACGAGAGCATGAAGCGTGCATGGAGATGCGATGCATTCGCGGATCGATTTCAGCCTGAGGTTTGCGACAGCATGACCGTCAAGCCAGGCGAGACCTACGTCTGGGCGAAGTGGGCAGACGGAATGGAGTACGAGGTGCTGGACTGCTTGGCGTCGACCTTTCTCGAGGATGCTGGACCTGCGCCCTCGAAGACGCCGCGAGGGGGCAACATCTTGTGGACGGGCAACATGGACGGCCTCCAGGTGCAGGTCAAGTTTGTGATGGATAGGGGGATCAAGCTGATTCAGATCAAGCACAACTTGAAGCAGGTCACGCAGATCTCCACGCACGCCGTCGAGGAGGCGGAGGCGGTGGAGTTCATGAAGGACATCGCGAAGCGCTACTGCGAGGGGCGCCTCACGGCCCAAGACGCCGAGCAGCTGAAGAGGGAGAAGCTCAAGGAGCTGAAGAAACGCAAGGAGAAGGACGAGAAGGCGGCGGCACTGGCTGCGACCAGCGCAGCTTCGTCCATCGAGACGCAGCCTGCGGAGACGGCGGTGCGGAAGCGCCCAGCTGCCGCCCCCAAAAGAGCTTGCAAGAAAGCCAAACACGAGGAGCCCGACAAGGAAGCAGCCACCGAGGAGAAGGGCGCACCCATGAATGGAGTGGAGAACCTGACGATCGTCGAGAAGAAGCCCGAGGAGAAGCCCCATGAGGGCAAGGAGGAGCCTCAGCCGCTGGAGAGCCCCCAGGAAGCAAAGGAGGGGCCACCAGAGGAGACGGGCGAGCCCACGAGCGAGGTCGTCGAACCCATCGACGACGACTCCGCGGACGATAGCCCCGATGATATCCGAGAGATCCCGCCTCCAGTGACTGGCCCGTGGGAGAGTATGACCACCTCGCTGAACACCATGATGGACGAAGTTGTTGAGTGCTCGGATTTCTGGAACAATGCGTTTGACGATGATGATGCGTGAACCGTGCACGGCATGTCGCCACGATGAGTTTGGTCTATGTGCGAGAGGGATTTTCAGATGGCTTGGCGGGGGAGCCGAGCCCACCGATCTCTTGAGCCTTTCTATTTCTGTGTTGTGAACATTTGCGTTCATTCTGGTGCGCACTGCGTCGCTAGTGCTCTCGTCTCAAGTGTGTTATGTTGTTTTCCTCTCGCGCTCAGTTCTTTCAGTTTGCCGAGCTCGGGCAGACAGCGAAGCTGTCCAGCACACTCCAGGTGTGTTTCCAAGGGGGCCGATTGAACCTCAAACACTTGAAGCCAAACGTACCACAGCCGAGCGAAACACGAGCATGACGACACACGAGCATGACGAAACACAGCTGAGGAGGGTAGGGAAAAGGATAATCGTTGGAAACAGGATGACAAACAGACGGCGGAGGAAAACACGGATAACGATAATGATGAATCTGAGAAAATCGCTATACCGTCAGCGTCGTCAAGATTGCTCGAGACCCTGCCCCCTCTTGGACGAAATGCCACAGCACGTGCGGCATGCGAGATACCATGGGCATTGGACCATGGAGCGTTGCTTCTATGTTCTCTGGGGCGCAAAGATGGGCGCGAAGGGCCTGAGCCTCTACCCCCAACCCCGCCAGACAAGGGAGAGGAACGGGGGAGGGGAGTTGGGGGAGGTGGCGGTGCAGGAGCGGAGGAGGGAAGGGTCCAGAAGATGGGTGTGGTTGAGACCGAAAGGGTGTAGGTGAGGAGGTTGGTCCGAGGAACGCCCCAAAGGACCCCAAGAACCTGGCGATACGCAGATCGACACAACTCGCGGCCCCCCCCCAACAAAAAAAGCGAATGGGGGGTCGGGGAGAGGGGCTCGACTCTTCGAGAACGAGAGATCACACGTTTCACTCTGCCTCCGTGAGATTGCCACCTGTTGCCGCAAGTGCCGTGGCGCCCAATGGGACATCAAGCTCGTGAAAAAATATGGTTGACGCTTCGCGAATCACTGCCCAAGGGCGCATGCCTCGCAGACCGCAGAAGCGGTGGAGTGACGAGATTTGTGCTTGCCTCAGTTCAATCGGGTATGACGTTTCAGCGAGCATGTGGCAGGGCGCAGCGGCGAATGCTGATGCATGACAAGCTTTGCTTTTGCAGTGCTGTCAGACGTGGAGTTTCACAGAGCAGCACTGCGGCGCTTGTCCACCTGCCTCACAGCAGAGTCATAAAATCAATGAGTTGGCATTCTCGCCGAGGCCTCTTGGAGCATCTATCTTGGGTGCTTCTGGGGTCTCTTGGGGCCTCTTCGGGGTCTCTTGGGAGCCTCGTGGGGGGCGTCCTGAAGGCCTCTTGGAGCTTCATGGCCACCTTGGGGCCCTCTCGGGGCACCTTTGGGAGCCTTGGGGGCAGTCGTTGGGCCATCTTGGGTGAGATCGATCAGGAGGGGGGGCCATTAATTACAGCCCTCCCCAGGAGGCCAAAATGGGGCCCAAACCATAATACAACCAATGATTGTGGCTTCCTCGCCGAAGTCGTTTTGGGCGCACTCGCGGACCCCCCGTCCAGGTCCAGGGGAGGGGGTAGGGGGGAGGGGTAAGCCCCTCCCCGAAGGGGAAGAAGGAGGGGTGGACTAGGAAACGCTCTAAACCACCGACGCCCAGAGGGCTGATGGGATTCAAGCAGGCATGTTGATACCGACCCCAAAGGAAATCCAGCGATTCTGTCCAACAGCGCGAAACACGCTCTTGCCCACTAAGGCTTTTTCAGGGTCAGAAACCTGGTAGTGGGCAGGAGCTTTTCGGCTGGTTTTTGAGCGCACTCAAATAGCTTACGCCACCCTGCTGATATCTCAGAAGAAGGTCTTCCCCCCTCCTCCTTATCATCCTCCTCCTCCTTCTCGTCTGCCCTTATCAACTCCCTCTTGATCTCTTCTTGTCCACCTGCCCGTTCCGAGCACCCTCCGCCCCAACCGTCGCTTGGCCCGCGTGGGTGGTTTACCCAAGAACAAATCGTTGTGCCAGAATACTATGAAAATAACGGGCAGTGGATTGAGTGGGTTCGGTACCTTAGGAACCCGCCACCCCAGCCGCCTCCGCCGCCCCCACGACCCCCCCATGTCAGCCGAAGGGCTGGCGGAGCTCGAGGCAATAATCGGTTGGGAAGAACTCGGGGCCATGATCGCTTGAGGGGAGATAGGCTCGCCTCATCATGCGCTTGCTCCTGCGCCTGCTTCTGCTCTTGTTTCTGCCTCTGCTCTTGCCTCTGCTGCTGGTCCTGCTCCTGCTCATGATCCTGCTGCTCCTCCTCCTCCTCCTCCTCCTCCTCCTCCTCCTCCTCCTCCTCCTCCTCCTCATCCACCTCCTCCCCCTCCTCCTCCTCCTCCTCGTCCCCCCCCCTCCTCTGCCCCGCCCCCAGAGTAGGATAATTGGGGGTGAGAAGGAGGGGGCAAAGAGAGTTGTTCGAAAGAGTCGACACGTATGCCGCGCAAAACAGAAGCAACTGGCAACGCATGCAATTACGTACGTTGCATCATACGAAATCGCACGGCCAACCTCATAGACAAGCAGGAAGCAGGCAGCATATAAAACACGCAGCATAAGCAGAAAGCACAGAGCTGAAAGACAACTGGCAAAGCATGCAATTGCACATAATGCAACATGTGACAGCACGCATCACGCAGCCAACCATAGTTCACATTACCATCGCCGTTTTTTTCTCAGTTCTTGCTGGACGCACTGCGGCGTCCTGTTGTGTGAACCTCGCATCACACTTTCGAGGATCGACCTTTCCTGATGACAGTCCTGGTTGAGAGCCTCGACAAGGTCACGGCGGGCGCCGCCTCCCCTGTCTCCACGACGGCATCGGGGTCCAATGCAGGAGGGACTCCAGCTGTGACGCCTTCGGCAGCGAGTGCGCCCCAGACACCCTCAGAGGCCGCCCCGCCCGCGCCCATTGAGGTCCATGACTCCCCCGAAGCTCCAGCTGATGGGCAGGGCGGCGGGCAGCTCAACAAGCAGGGGCCCGAAGGTACGTTCCTTGAGGATAGCCAGCGTGAGGAGACCTTCACAGTGCCAGGCAATCCACGTGACATCGCTGCTGCCAGAGCCCCCGTTCCGGAAGCCCCCGCATCGCAGCCGCCCGCGCACTTGTCGAGGCCCACGTTTCCGCGCGAGGGCATGTCGGAGCAGCAGTACAGCGAAGTCGTGGCAGCAGACAGGGGATTCTGGCAGAGGGTCGAGGCGCTGCCAGGCAAGGCAGCCGAGGAGCCCGACGGCCCGCCCGACGGCCCGCCCGACGGCCCGCCCGACGGCCCGCCAGACGGCTCGCCCGACGGCCCGCCCGACGGCCCGCCCGACGGCCCGCCCGACGGCCCGCCCGTCGACGGCCCGCCCGACGGCCCCCCCCGCGTCCCAGAGGGCATGAGCCAGGAAGAATTCCTGCGCAGCTTGTCGAGCCAGCAGATGGGGAGGGGCCGCTACGACAAGCATGAGCTCGATGGCGAAGACGATGCAGGCAGGGATCCCCACCTGGAGGAGGCCGAGATGACCAATTTCGAGATCAATGCTCGCAGCCCTCTGGGCTGGCGCTTCCAGAGGGAGTTGGCCTCGGATAAGGAGCTGAAGAAGTCGTGGCTCGAGTGCAGGGGCAACCACGCGAAGCAGGCTTTCAGGCAGAAGTGGTGCAAGGCAAAGTTCGAGATGTACAGGAAGAGCCGCGAGATGATCAATCGCCATCAGGTCGTGACTGCAGACATGGGCGTCTACCACCCCCTGGACAGGATCAAAGTCGAGGAGGGAAACACCGAAGAGGCGGCTGAGCGTGCCTGGCGTTACGCATACGCGTGCGTCATGATGGGCACCCAGTGGTACCGCTTCAACGTCATGACTAGAGCCATGGAGTTCCTGTACGTGAAGCAGCAGTACAATGATATATTCACGCAGTGCTGGCAGACTACGCAGCGCGAGGAGAACAGAGGCCGCCTTCTTGCAGAATTCGCTGAGCCCGAAGGGCGTACCACGTTCGAACCAGTTCGTGCAGCTGCAGGTGCAGCGCCGCCATCTGCAAGCGGCGGCGCGGCGGTCAGCGCTGCCTCGCGCAGCGGCAACGGACCTGCGCCCGCAGCTCCATCCGCAGATGCACCCGCAGCTCAGCCCGCAGCTGCGCCCGCAGCTGCGCCCGCAGCTGCGCCCGCAGCTGCGCCCGCAGCTGCGCCCGCAAGTCCAGCTGCGCCCGCAGCTGAGCCCGCAGCCGCCGCGGCGCGCGCGGCCCAGGAGGAGGAGGCCGCCGTCGGCGACGAGGCGAGGGAACCGCCCAACAAGAGGTCGAGGAAGTCTGTGAGGGGCCAGGCTCTGTCGCCGAAGCCAGCACCTGCGACGCCGAAGGGCAAGGGCAAGGGCAAAGCTAAGGCTAAGGCCAACGCTTCAGCCTCTAAGGACTTGAGGGCCAAGATCAAGGATGCGCAGCAGCTGAAGGTGGCGTATGGCCAGGCGAGCTCCTCGATCGCTTGCATCTCAGCCCAGATTGCAAATTCTCCCGACTGGTCGTGGCTGAAAGACAGCGTGCTGGTGGAGCCGATGACGAAAGCCAACGACGACATGATCAAGTATGTGTTCTCCAATCCCATCGCGACCATGCTTATCGGCCAGAATGTAGAGCAGATTCAGGCGAGCTACGATGACCCTGCCCAGATGGATGTCCAGTTGGCGACCCTGACCAGCGACCTCGGCGAGCTCGTCGACAGGGCGCAGAAACAGGCGGACAAGCTCTCGAGGATGCATTATGAGAAGATGAAGGAGTATTGAAACGCTAACTGAGGTTCAATTCAGATACAGGCTGGAATGGGTGACAGTTGATATGCAATTGGGTGAGGCTCTTACACTGTAAGTTCTCGTGCATGCGGTCTGTCAGAGCCAGCTTGTGCAGCGCGCATCATAATATATCGTGCACGCGTGATCTGCGCGTCTTACTTTTCTCGGGCGTTCGACTAAGTGTCGAACGCAGTCGCCGCAGGGGTTGGCG